ATTTCCAAATCCACATCATACTTGATTAACTTAACTTTATATTTTCTTCAAATCTTATAACTTTATTATTCATACTATTACAATTAATCAGTAATAACTTTTCCAATTTAGGGCATAAGCCCTAATCAAACTAATCATATTCATCTTCTCAGTTGAAATCCAACAAGTGCAATTTACTCACTTATCCAACACACACTTATTCATATACATTACTATTCTCTTGTCTCTTCCATTACCTTACATTTCATGATCAAAATACATAATCATGTCTCAATTCACACCATACTTAGTTAATTTACCCTGACATCATCTTCTAATCCTTTAACTTTAATACACTTACCATCACATAATTATGTTAGTCAGTACCAATTATTCCAATCTAAAGCATAAACCTTCATCGAACCATTCATATACATTCATTCCAGTCGGAATTATCTCAGCAATAGTTTACTTAACTTATCAAATCCACATTTATTCTCATACACCATGAAATTTTCATTGTTCCAACTCAACATTCTAACTTCCTTTATCTTATAAACTGATCACTGATGTACCCATTCTTAAACTCTTCTTATCAATCCTTGGCTTTAGTCAAACATACGAATCCTCACCTTCTTCATTATGTCACATTATTATGATCAAAATATACAACTGTATCCGATCCACCTCATCTTTGGTTGTCTTATCCCGACAACATCTCAAAATATTAAATTTCTATACATTTTCCATCACATAATCTGGTTAGCCAACACTAACTCTTTCATCTAAAATACAAACCCTTATCGTATCCATATTTTTGCTTAAACATAGTACTATCCTTTTGTCTTACATTCATAAACTCTATCTCCATATCTCTTATACACTTGTCACTGATGTATCTATTCTTGAATTCTTATACAAATACTCACCACATCCTTTGATCTTTTTAACATTCTTATGGTGACACTTGTTCACCATATTCTATCTTATCCACGTAATAACAAAACTATTCCATATCATGTTTCCGAATCAAAACAATGAAAACTTTCTATCATCATTCAGATATGATTTCAGCTTTCTGAAATCAACCTTTGATCTTACTAGGCACTTCCTGATATGGCCGCTCTTCATCCTGCCTGGCCAGGGCAGGTGAATAGCTATCACAATCAGGAATATCGCCTTTCACTTTACTTTGAAAAAAATCATACTTCTATTATAACTTAGCAATCTAATTCTATTAGCAAGACAACACACTCCTTACACTATCAGATCAGAAATTTTCACTCTATGTTGGCATGTACACATTTTTAAAACTCATTTGACTCCAGTTTAAGCCTAGAATCGGCTAAACCTTAGCTTTGATACCATTAAATGTAACACCCCCAACCCGTATCCGAGTCGAGGTGTCACATCAACTTTTAACCCTTTATTCAAAATAGTGAAAAAAAAATCTCCGTTAAAGAAAACTTCATATTATTTCAAAATAAAAGTTTTCATACTTATCAGAACATATACAATTCAAATAGTTTATATTACATACCAACTACATCTAAAAGAATAAAATACATATCAACCATTTCTTTTTTGATCTGAACTTTGTAAGGAATATGCTGACCTGTCTTACACCTCTCAGCTTCTCTTTTCACTTTCCATAACTTGCGTGTGAAATACTCACACGCTAAGTCGATGACTTAGTGAGGCATAAAAATACATCTAATGAAATTCATATCCACTAATCATGCATGACTGTTTTATGCTATCAAATCATACAACTCATATACTCTTCTTTATATAACAATTACATACTTGTACACATACATTTCATCACTTATGTTTTTATTATACTCTTATACTATTATACTTCCTATCTCTTATTTCTTGTTCATATGATCTCTTACGTTCATATTCTATATCTTATAACAAATTCTTATATCATCATATAAATCATTTATACTCATTCGCATATACATCAACATATATTCATGTATATCATGTAACAGATACAATAACCCATATCACATATATTATGTCATGCAATTCATATCACACATCATATACATATATTACATACATTGTTTTCACAACTATCTCTTTCTTAGCCCATGTACACATGTGAGAACCATAGATATGTGAGTCTATAGAGGTTGTGCACTAATGTTGTCACCACAGCTCGTATAAATGCACCGAAGTGCCACGTAGAATTGCACCGTAGTTCCACATAGAAATGCACCCAAGTGCCATTAAGGTTGTCCCTAAAGACCACAGAAAATTCCTTAAGAATCATATACATATGCCAAGGATCAAGTATGTGTCTCAAAAGACCTCACACATGTTCCAAAGAATACATATATATCCCGAAGGACCGCGTAGACCCTCGACTCTTGGCATGCCAACTATACCTCTAGCTCTCATGTCACATAACATGGGCATTAATATTTATGTTAGCATACATTCACATATACACATAGTCTCATAGTTCTTTCACGTAGCTCATTTTCATATAAATCACATATCACATATCACATATACATATAGACACATGATTCACTTACGCGTAGAACATTTTAATAAGATTCACATATCACAGAGCTTATCACATATAATTGTATTCTTTTTCATATAATTACATAGTCATATAATATTTCACATGACATATGATTTCTCTTTCATATATCTTATGTCAAGTATCATATCTTGTGATCATGTAATCATCTTACTTATAATCACATAACTTCTACTCATAAGGTTCAACATCATTAAACTTAGTTCACTTTTTCATATTATCATACATTTATATAACCTTATATGTACTATCAATAACCTATAAGCTTACTCATATACTCATATATACTCTTTAATATAATTGGCATAGCAATGCTCTATAATTGTATCATATAATGAGTTTACCTAAGTCTTCTTTTATAAAGTTTATACTACAAGTTCAAATAGTCTCATTTTATCCTATACATAGTTTCTACTTATCTTATCTCACTTCCCTTTTCACTCACATAAATCATCTATATACTAGTTTTATCTATTTATTTAGTTCAATTTCCCATGATTTCTATAATACTCTTTCATAAAGTTTTGTAATTCTTCACTTTATAACTCATAAACTATAGTTTCCTTTAAGTATATAAATCTTCCCTGTAAAACTTATGTATCATTACTTATGTTTATGCCCTCAAATTTATACTATCCTCATAGAGTCTCTTAACCTTTATCGTATAATCACTTATACCATATAATATGACTTATACTTAGTTATCTTATGTTCATATATATAGGTCAATGATTCATTGACTTGTAGCTTATTTCACATGTTCATTTCAGTCTTATGTCTTTATCATATAACTTATTTCATGTTCTTCTATTATTACATAATAGTGTTTTACACAAATCATTTAATATATACCAAACATATCAATATCTTTAGTCATGCATACATACAATTAATATAATACATAACTTCTAACAAACACATAATCATTTTCATGACTTCATGCATATTACTCTAGGAAATGGACTCATCACAAGTCTTATTTCCATTAAACACTACATGTTACTAGTATGCACTCACCTGGCCTCACTAGTCAAGACAAATCTCTTATCTTTCCTCTTGATCGATCTTACTTGTTAATGATTCTGAAACTCGTTTAGGCTCTGTATCTATATAATTATACATTTTCAAGACAATTATTAGATACCTACATCTTGTAATTCGATACTAACAACTTAAACGAACCTAATAAACCAATATTCATTTCTTCCTTTAGGGGGGAATCGGTTCCCTACTGTGGGGGTATCGGTTCCCCCATGACATTCTGTAAATTCTGGTTTGTTTGAGGGAGTATCGGTTCCCCTTGAATGGGTACCGATTCCCTTAGCCCAGAAATCACATGTTGAGCTCGAAAATCACTTCATTTTCAGCTCAACACTTCATATTTCACTCCCTTTAATATTCCTAACTTTCATATACATACTTAAACTAATTAATTTTCATTCAATACCTCTTTAACTTAAGAATCCACTCCTCCACATAGTATTCAAGAATCATACCAAATTTTCTATATGTTCTAAATCCAATTCTATCACTCCAAATCTCTTAATTTAATCATTGACAAGTCAAATTCAACTTCACAATATATTAACTCCCTCTATTTCAATAATTCACTTAAAAACTTTCACATTTAATCCTTCATAACTCATTCATTTTGGAGTTTCAACATACTTTAATCTCTAAATTATCTTTCTTAACACCCAAGAATCAAAACTAAGTTTAAAACTCAAGAATTAACCAGTTGAAATTAAATTTACATTTTCCATGACTTACGGGAAGAGAAGAAGAAGAAGAAGGTTGAACCAAAGTCTCCAAACTTTTCTATTTTCTTTCCTCCCTTTCCACGTGCCATCTCCTATATAAAGGAGAAATAAAAACCTTTCTTATGGAATTACCATTATACTATTCAAACTTTCCAAAAATTACCATTTAATCTAACACTGAATTTTTTTCTATTTAAATCCTTGAACTTTTAACTTATTTCGAAATCGAGCACATAATTTTCAAAATTTACAATTTAGACCCTAATTTGATGTTACAGGCAGCGAAGCTAACATCCTCGAAAATAACCCAATCTTGACCTTTGTGTTTCAGCGTCTTCAATGCTAACACATCTAGTATCTTTCCGAATTGTGAGAACACAACATGCAACGACTTCTTCAACTCTGCAATCATCACTCGAGAAAAAAAAAAGAAATCAAGGAAAAGAAAAGGATGTAAGCATTTTTTTAAGTTTGCCGTCGAGACCAGTTTGCAGTTGATTTCCTGTCTGGGATGAACCATTTACCTTTTCCAAATCTTGGACCGTCTCAAGGACGGTGGGGCCGGCAGCCATCCCAAGACTAGCAGGAGCAGCAACTTCTCCAGGGTTAATAAACCCAGTAACCTTGGCAACTTTTTTGGCGAGACTGGAAAGATCTGCACCCTCCAATTTATCAAAAATCATACCATCCTGACAGAAACAATCAAATGGCCAACCTTATTCATCTTTCAAGAGTGTTTAAATAGAAAAATCGAACATTAACCAAACCTAGACTTCAAGCAAATTATCAAAGGGCGATATTAAAGGAAGAATAGCCACACAATTGGATAGTCCAGTCTTATCAGTATGAATATTTATTGCCTTTATTCAAGATGGAAAAATGCGTTCCTGGGCAAGTTTAGTTAAATTCACTTCTCTACATTTTGAGGGAAATGATTGAATGAATCTAACAAGAGAAAATCTTCATGTGTGTGTTCAGTGAAATACTCTCAGCCTAGGATTGTCAAATGCAATAACAAGCAGCTAATGATTATATTCTGCAAGAAAATAAGTAATCAAGTAATCGGATTGACTTAGCAACTAGCATTCGAACATATACATTCATGGATTAAATCAACTTCAGTGTGAATATATATATTCAACGGTCACTAGCTCTAAATATATGGAAAAACATCGTAAATACTGAACGTACCTATGTCGACACATATACATAACCAACACCCACAACATGATCAATGAATAACCGTTAATTAACTTAATCAATGATCAAACAACAAGCTTATCAACATATGAAGGTTAAAATGCTCGCTCGACCTCAAATCTTTAAGCTGTTCCCGCTGGTATATTTAGCCGCATGCCTAATGCTTTATTTCGATCGAAATCCAAGTCAGGGTTTACCTCGATAAAGTGATAATGGCTTCCTACCTGAAAAAAATGTTAAAGGGTTAGCACAGAGATCTTTCAATTCTTCCTTGGAAAAAATTAACCGAAGTTTATTGGTTAGTTATATTGTAGGTCAATTCTCTGTACCTATGTTACTAAGACCGTGTGCAACACATGTCAGACACATTTTCGGATATGGATATGAAGATAAGATCCTCCAAATAAATGGAAAACTCTTGGAAAAAAATATGAACATGCACATACTCGTATCCAACACTCACACACGTGTCCAAGTTACATAGCTACGTACACATAGATATAGTGGTACCGAAAGCTATGCTGTTGGCACCCAACATTCTTCTTGAAATGCTCATTTTCAACATATGGATACGGAGATATGACCTCCAGGGATTCTCCAGAAAAACTTAGAAAAATCTAATCATATCAAGACCTAACACACGCTTACATCCTATTAATATAGAAAAACCTAACTATTATCCCTATCTAACACTTGCACTCAAATCCTAAGAATATAGACTGAACTGAAACTGGTGTGGAATTGATCAAACTCTAAACAAGAAAAAAATATGAATAAAAGAAGAGAGTTTGCAACACCTGAACCGGCCTATCTCCACTGTTAGTGACTCTGAGGCTTACTGCTCTCCTCCCGGAATTAAGTGTAATCGTCCCACCTTTTGGGATCACTTCATCGGGAACAGTTTTATCATCCATTTCGGGTTCCTCATTAGAAGGCACTGCATTATCAATATTTTTTTAGTTCCCACTGGATACTTCATATTCACAAGCAGGACCAGTTCCAAGTTCTAACTAATCTGCATAATATACTAAATCTGCATTGTTGATTTTGACAGAAAAAAAGAGTTCACAATATGAGCCAAGAAAAATCTGGAACAATGGCTCTTCAGGCGTGTATTGCTCCAATTCTTTATTTTTCTTAATGTGTCCATAACAACACTCATGTCCAACACATAAATGAGGATATGACCTCCAAATACATGAAAATTTTCAGGAAAAGTCTAACCATATCCGTGTCGAATATATACCCTTATCCTGCACTGACATGAAATGATTAGTTTTTTTAAAGTCTTTACAAGTATTTGAAGGATCCTTAGAGGTCAGATCTCCACAACAATGTTTGGGACCTGATTACTTCCACAAAAATGAAGATTAAAAAACATAACACTTAGGATATAAAACATGAGAATTGCAAAAGGAAAAATCAATTCCATTTATGATTATTTAAAGCATAGTTACCTGAACAGAATCCAATAAATATGGCACCGATGAAAGAACCTGCCTCCTGTTTATACATCAATTGAAATTACTATTCGTTTCTACAACATAATATATATATATATCATGTGCTCAAAGCAAAACATTGTCGATGCTTATATTACTCAGATATCGAAGCGAGTGTTGGATTCGGGTATGTGTCCCACACATGTATATTTAAGTCTTTCTAGTTTTTTCCATGTATTTGAAATGTCATTTTTAGGATTGCATCTCCATATCCATGTCTCAGAATGTATCAGATATAAGTATTGGACACCAATAGTTCAAGAGAAATGAAGAATCCAAGCAAACTGGTTGCATACCTGCCCAAAAGTTGTTTGCCAACGTCCATCAATTCGGTCACACTCTTGTCACCATCACGAACAAACTCGAGAATCTATGGTGGAAAAAACATATCAAAAGGGATGTGAACTTGGGATTTTCCTTAAACTTCTTTAAGAAAAAATCAAAAAGGGAAAACTGGTACACGGCAAATTACAGGCATGTGATTGACTTAGCTCTGAAAACCAATAACTCTATTTATGAACAATTTCGAATAAAATCCTAAATTATCTACTCCGCTTTACGAAGATGTATGGCTTTGACTCTTCATTTTTTCTTGAAGTATATGTATTTGGGAAATATATCAGACACTTATCTGGATGTGTATAGAATATGATCCTCCAAAGATCCTCAAAATACAAGAAAATATTAGAACAAATTGAACGTACACATGTCGCAAAAAAATCATAACTTGACACTCACATCTGTGTTTAAATAACATAGCTACTAAGAAACAATGAAATTGGATATCCTGAAGCATGAGAATACCAATTGCATAAAAACACAAATAATTAAAAAAATACACAAATAGACTCGTTCATGGAAATAGCTCAACAGAATCGGGCAATAAATCATCAGGTTGGAAAAACTCGCATAATCAGCATACAATATCCACAAATTTCAATCATTCCTAGTATATCTAGACTCTTCAGTTTTCCTGAAGAACTTGTGTCCGACATCTATTCAAACACATACCCGAACATGAGTATGAGGGCATGATTTTTCATATATAAGAAAACACTTGGAAACAATTGGTTTGAACATACCCTTATCAAAAATATACTAATACCTGTATCCAACACCCATCCCAAGTTCGGATAACAAATTAGGAATCAGATATATACCAGTATCCAACACTTATCCCAAGTCTGGATAACAAATTGAGATTGCCATATATATACATTATACACAAAATCGCAGAGTATAGGAATCACCTGAGTGGCAATGAGAGCAACGGCTTCAGTATAACTTGTGCCTAAGCCCATTAGCTAGGCGCTTTTGGGAAAGGAACCCTGCATTATAAGCTTAAAAAGTGAATAGAAGAGGAATCCTATGGAAGTGAGCGTTGGGGAAATCAATGGAGAGATGGAAAAAGACTTTGTCCATTTGCTTTGAAGCCTCACACCAAGAAGCCCAGAAGTGAAGGATAAGCGGTACACCACTCTGGGTTCTTTCATAATCAAGAAATATGTTAAAAATAAAAACTGAAATATGAATGCCAGAAGCAAATATCTAAGCTAAATCGAAGAAGAAGAAAATTTCAGCAGAACGAAGGGGAGGGGGAGAAGGCTATTTTAGACAACGGGGACGGAATGAGTAAAAATCTAAGGGAGAGGAGGTATAAACATTCCCGGGAATGCAGTAAAAAAATCCCTGTTGGTATTAATTTTTTCCTAGCACTTGATAATATAGTCTATCCAAATATGAGTATATTCATCTGAGAAAACAACATTCCTCCCAGGAAATAAATATACCGTGAACTAAACGGGACCTGATGGTCAGCTAGGGTTCCCATAATCCAGACGCAATTAGGACCGTTGGATCTAGATAGATCCAACGGCTAAGCAAACGATGACTGCTGAGTTAATGTAAAACCCTAATTAGGTTTGAGTTACTGGAGCTAAGCCGGTTCGAGTCCCGGGTTTCGAGTTGCAGTGGGCTGTCGGGTCTTTGTTGGGTTGTAATCTGTTTTGGGGCTGCTGGGTAGGTTAGTTGGATTGGGTCAACTTCTGTTGGGCTAATGAACTGGGTTGTAATTGGGCTTTGGGTCTTCTGGTGAGCTTAATAGCCTGCAACAAAATGTAAATATTTGTATTAATATAATAATAATAATAAATTAAAAATAAAAATAAATAAAAAATGTTTGGACAAAAACGAGTGTCTTTAACCTTTCTTTTTGTTCTGTCCGAGAAGTGTTAACATTTCTTTTTATGTTTCCAGAATTCTCATGGATAATTAAAGCTGCTATTTTCTGTTCATGTAATGTATTTTTGTTATCGAGATGGAATAACTTCTATATGTAGATTTAAATAATTACTTTAAATAACACAATTTTTAAATGAAAATTTCTATATGTAATGTATTTTTGTTATCGAGATGGAATAACTTCTAGGTTAATAGAATATTATTACCACAAATAAAAAGAAATAAAAACAAAATATAATATTCCAAGAAAAATGAATAACCTGAAGACAATCAACCAGAACAAGCAAGCAATGATGGCACGGCACGGATGTAGCCATCGGTGTTTGTATCGCAAGTTACGCAATAGGTCATAGGCAATTAGGCAAAGGGGCCCAAAAAGTTCTTGCATATTCAAAACCATACTCTTAAGCTTTGGGTGACCTTTTAATGTGTTTTTCAGACCATACTGATAAAATTATTATAATGGTTGCACAAATAGTCATTTTATCTTTTATTTTTTTTGGAGTATTTTAATTTTTTATTAAAAAAAATTTGTTAGATGAAAATCGTTAATTAACTAGTAATCAATTCATGTCGTTTTCATACGTATTCAGTTATTGATGTGACATATACCACATCATAAAAATGATGATATAATATGTGTTACATCATCGAAATGATGATAATATGTCATGTCACCTAAAATAATGATGTGACATATGACACATCATCTAAATTGATGATGTAATTTGTGTCACATCAATATTAGAACACACATAAAAATATCAATTAGCAATATGAGTTGAATCATCAATCAATTAACGATTTTTAATCCAACAACGTATATTTTAACCATAAATTAAAATATTAAATGTTAAATTATTCCAAAAAGGTAAAAGATAAAATGACTATTTTACAATCATTAGGTAACTTTATTATTATGTTTTTCTAAATCATAAAAGTAATTTATCAAAATAAAAATAAAATAATTATGTAATCTATATATATTTTTAAAATTATTAAAGTATATAAACTAATTATTTAAAAATAAAAAAGTATAAAGAGTTAAAAGTTTAACAAAATAATTCAAATAATTATTAATACATACAAACAAAATTATAAACCAAACGTTTTTTTTCAATATATATATATATATATACACATAAATTAATTAACTTGATCCTAGAGGAAAATCATCACATAACTTAACGGTCGGTGTCATCTTGCTCATATGTTATTTAATAAAATCTTGTTTATCGAGGAATGGATAGATATAAAATAAAACGTGCAAATAAAGGTTAATATTAATTTAACACTGTCGCAACCGTCTTTCGGTTGGGACCCGGGATTGGGCTTCGACTTAGGGAAATGGATTGGAGTCGCCACCGATCATTTATTTAAAAATAAATGGGTTGATCGGATACCCTTTTTCTTACCTGATCTGCGTCTTACAAGAGATGTGTCGGATTCGGGAGTCGGTTACAGTCAAGGAAGGGCTAGCACCCTTGAACTGCCCTTTCGGTACTGTGTAATTTCCAGTTGTCTTTAATTAAGAAAATTGACAGTTAAATTAAAAGGTAAAATATTGATCCAAATTGCTTACCACTGATTGTTTGAAGTTCTCTCAAAAAGCCAAAGAAAGGGTTAGGTAATGGAAGTAATAAAATGGAAAAATAAGGCGAACAAACGAAATAATATATAAAAAAACAATGTATACAGAAAAAAAAAGAATGAAATATGACTAAATATAAAATAAAATATGCAAAGAAAAAAAACGAAAATACAAATAAAAAAAAGAAGAAAATATAATAAAATATAAATGGATAAAAAAAATACACATAATAAAATAAAATATAAAGCAATGAAAATGAAAAAAAAAAAAGAAAAAAAAATATGCGTAATATACATGTAATAAAAATAACAATTATAATAGTAAAAATAGTAGTGAAATAATAATGATGAAAATAATAAATAAAATATATATATATATATGTAGAATATAAAAAATACATAAAAGATATATAGAAATAAAGAGTAAAAAATGAGTAATACATATACGTATATAATAATAAAAAATATAATATAATAGCATAAATAAATAAATAATAATAATAGTAAAAAGTAAAAGGGGAAATAAATAAAATAAAAATGGAATAAATAATTAATGAATGAAACAAGAAATATATATATATTAAAGTATTAAAAAGGAAAAATATCAATAATAGGTAAAATGAATATATATATATATGTATATACATATGTAAATACAAAAAAAAAATAAAATGTTAATAGAAATATAATTATAAGATAAAATGAGTAAGATTGGTAAATAATAAAAAATACATATATAACGTATAAAATTATAAGATGTAGTAGCTAGATAAAAAAAAAGTTAATTAAAATAATATATATGTATTAACACTAAGTATATAGATGAAATATATAGAAAATACGTATATATATATATATAATTACATGATATGGAATAAATGAAAAAAAGGCTAGTATAAGTATTAAATTGAATCAAAAACAAGTTAAGTGGCTAAAGTGAAAGAAAATCAGAATTAGAGACCAATTCAAAAGCAAATTCGGGGTCAAAATAACTCTTTAAAAGCTGCGAGGGACCAAAAGGGTAGTTTACCCTAATTTATTGCAAAACGCGGATCTGATATAAACGGATCAAATGTTTTTTTAATTTCATTTTCTCTTCTTCTCTCGCCCGAGAGCAACCCCATCTCTTCTTTTCTCTGCCTTGTTCTTCAGGAATGAAGAACACAGGCGACATTTTCCAGAAACCAACCGTTGGCCTCCTCGCGCCGCCTCGCCGCCGCCGTTCATCGGCGGCAAAACCCGTTTTTTTTCTGTTTTCCAAAGCTTTTTAAATCTAGTTTTCAAAAACCAAAATATTTTTTACAAAAAACGAGCCTCGGGGGCTAGATCTACAAAAGAAGATCCCGACCAAGCCCCTCCGTTCATCGGCTAAAATGCTCTTTTTGGGTTTCTTTCGAACCAAAGCTTAACGGAGACATAAGACAAGGAAGAAAAACACGCAAAAGGTATGAACTTTTTACCTTTCCTTTCGAAATATTTGCACAAAACCTTCGAAAGAAATTCTGAATGCTTGGTGGTGACTTGCTGGTAATTTTGCTTATAACTTTGCTTGTATTCAGTATCAAAAAAAATCCCCCCAATACTGTTGATTACATGCCTATTTATACAAAAATGCATGCCTATTTTTTGGTCTAGCTTGAGTCCTAATCAAACTCAACTACTCTTATTTGTTTGACATCCACGATCGTTGCTTGTGGCCGAGAGAACCGGGCTATGTTGAGCAGTTGGTGTCCTACACATTCACGTAAGTTGGAGGCCGAGAAAAGTGGGTTCATTGCGTGACAAGCGGCGTGCCAAGTGGGGACTGTGGCGCTTGTGGAGAGACGAGTGAGGGAGAGCTGGATGCACCATGCGGCGCTGATGGAGTGAAGGCTTGCTAGGGTTTCTGGAAATCCTACGCGTTGGGCGCGTGACTTGGGTTTGGCATGTTGAACCACATGTGGATTTGTGGGCACCAATTGGGCCTGTAACCTGTAAATCAAGTGTAATTATAAAAATAATATGATATGTATACACATAAACCATATATTATAAATAATAACACAAATGCAAATGTAAATGCCATAGAGAAAAAATATGTGTCGACAGCTGCCCCTCTTTGCCCATAGTCGTGTAACGGGTGTAGGACAAAGATTAAAAGACACATTTCTTGTCTAACATGAATATATCAAACACCATCCATAAAGGGGTCTGTCCCCATCGAATATCCTCTGTTGTAGAGTTGAAATCCGATGCTAAGACTGATTTATCATTTTGAATTGAATCCTGAAGTGACTCCCTCGTCGTGAGGTTGAGTCGAAACCGAAAGATTCTGATCACGAAATTCTTCGTTGTGAAGTTGAAATCGAACTCAAAGCTTTTGACAAGTGGCCTCTGAATCGTCTTTTTGCTCAAGATACTTCGTCGTGAAGGTGAAACTTGACCTGAAGACTTTGGTGTCGTGGTGTCACTGATGACTCTCTCGTCGTGAAGTTGAGTCAATCCGTTTGTGGAGTTGGAATTGTATATGGCTCCTCCGTCATGAATTTGAGCCTGAGAATTGGAAGTCCTTCGTCGTGAAGTTGAAATCCAAGTATTGTTCAGAGTCCAATATCCTTCGTTGTGAAGTTGAAATTGGCTCTGAATTTGAGAAATGTTTGTTGACAACCAGCGGTCCCTTCGTCGTGAAGTTGAACTTGCGTTGTCTGGAGTCCAATATCCTTCGTTGTGAAGTTGAAATTGGCTCTGAATTTGAGAAATGTTTGTTGACAACCAGCGGTCCCTTCGTCGTGAAGTTGAACTTGCGTTGTCTGGAGTCCAATATCCTTCGTTGTGAAGTTGAAATTGGCTCTGAATTTGAGAAATGTTTGTTGACAACCAGCGGTCCCTTCGTCGTGAAGTTGAACTTGCGTTGTCTGTAGTCCA